ATTATTGGAAATTCTTATGTTTTCAAAATATCGGTTCTTTTTCTCAGTATTTCTGCTGAAAACATTGCCTAGAAAACTACCCTGGAAACAGGAATTCTTTCACTTTCTAATAGTAAATTTAGATTCCAGAATTGTTCCTAAAGGGTAGCTCATTACAATTTCACAATGTGTATGTATTTGTTATAGAAGAAATACCGATTTGTTTACGCTCATTATAGTAATGTTAAAGTAATTCCGCATCAACATAAGATGGAGCAATTTTTGTGTGAGTAGTGAGAAACATAGATTGCATATGATTGGCTGTTGTACATCTGCTTTGCAGCCAATCAGGATAGATGTCTTAGCAAATGTAGAAGTTAACTAATTATATGATACTATTCTGTTTCTTCTTCTCTCTCAGTCTTCAACAAGTTCTTCTCCGACTGTTCAGAAACTGGATTTTGAGTCTGAAGCTGGAGGGCAGTCTTTACAAAGGTATGCCAAATAATAAAATTATTGTTTGGATTATTAATTTGACAGAACAAATTTCTCTTGCTGTGAAATATTGTATTTTTGCAATTTTGTGTGTTGTATCAAGAATTTATAAGATGAGGTTATGTGAATGAATGTGATATGTGATGAAGATTCCATTTGAAGTCTCAAAATCATAAGATAAATGTACATGTCTAAAGTATAAAATTCTAATATCTTTGAAGTATGTAACTAACTAGTCGTAATGCTTTAGTATATTCCAACTGTCACCTCATGTCAGTTTATGGTGTAATAAATAAAGCACATGATCTTAATGAATGAATAACAGTATTTGCTCTGTTAGAATCAGATACGGACAAAAAATTGCATTAAAATATTTTGACCATAGAAACACTCAGGCTGTTATTTCAATAATTGTATGTGTTATTAATAGAGAAAATACTGTATTATAACTCAAGATGAATACAATGACCACATGTAAAATTCTGGTGTGCATGGTTACCAACTGTAGTTTGTTTTCTTTCATTTTTACAGGGCCATGCAGCATCTGTTCCGTTTGAAGACATTAGTGAATAGTGACACAGAAACTGGATCCCAACAATCAGTGTCATCTGCTGGCAACTAAATACATTTTTGTACATTGTCATATTTTATACATTTGTACATATTTTTCTATACTTCAGACATCATTCCTGTAAAAGTGTTGCTGTAGTTATACAGGTTTATTTTTAGAAAGGTGTCAAAAGTAGACGTTGGTATTCAAAAAGTTTCAAACGAACCCTCAAACCTGAATTCCATCAAAAAAAAAAAAAATTAAGAGTAATAAAATTGCGTTAAAGTAGTTAGCTACCTTTAAAACTTATTGCAAGATTTTTTTTTAGGCTGTTGCTCACAAAATTGTAATAAAAATATATGGTCATCAAAGAACTTTTTGCAAATAACCTATGAAAAATTTACCATTGGTTTCTATGGCAATAGAGTTTTGTCATATCTCAAAATGATAAAAATTTCTATGTACGTGTAGTTATCGTGCTAACAGTCCTGAATTATTGAGAAATACTATTTATTTTTTATGGCAATAGTTCCAAAATATCCCATTTTTGCCTATTTTCAGACAGTTTCTTATCAACAAATAATATCTTGCCTGAAGTTATCTAAATCTACAATTCTGTTACAGTTTGAAAAAAAAATTTCACTCATATTTAGCAGTTCGAATATCTTGCAAGTTATCTTAAATTTTTGTATTACGCATTGTTGTCAACGTACAAAGCTTAATTAAAACAGACAAAATGAACTTTCTTTTACTCCAAAATAATTGTAAGTTAATAAATATGGAAGTTATGACTGCCAATAATCTGTATATATTTTGATTATTACAATAATATTTATATTATAGGTATTAGAGTTTTTCTTTATAATGTATATATCTATATCTGTATTACTCTTGGATGGGGGGAAGGATTTCTGAAATTTTGATAACTCTGATTCATTTTAATAAATACTATTTCCATAAATTATATAAGGTATATTTCTACAATTGCAGTAATTTTGGGGCTTCTGCATCTCGCCTTACAACTGGTATTTCCAAGTAAGAAACAGTTATGTGATATTACCAAGATAGTGTACATATTTCAGAACAAGGTTCCTCGCAGGAAAGTGTCACTAATTGTCACCACCAAGGCACTGTTTGGAGCTTCATACACAGTGTGTCTGGATTAAGAAGATGTATAATAATACTGTGTATCAATGTTTTTGCATGATCTTTTAAATTGGTGCAATACACCAGACAAATATTTATAAAACAGAGCCCTCCACTGGAGGCATTGCTGCATTTTTACCTATTTCTACCTATTTTGTAAAACTTTATTACATTCTGTTTTTTGCTTTCATGTGGTTATCAAAACTGATATTCACAATTGCAATGTACATACTATGCAACATTACTTGCAGTTGATTACCCAGTTTATCAATTACTCTTGTATACTGTTGGTGGTGCTTATGTAATATGATTGTTGTCAGCATACAGAGATTTGTAATCTTCTCTCATCTGTAGCTGCATGGAAGTGAGGTTTTATCTAACTATTTATTGTAAATTTACTATTTTACTAAATCATAAATACCGGTAATAAAGACAAATTTCCATTAGATCTTTTAGGTTCATTCGGAGTCATTTTTTCCAGATTTGCCTAGGCTGATTTTGTTCACAGTTTGGCATGTCATTTTGTGCTTTTACTTTAACTTTTATAACAGGCTCTTGTACATTTACATTAACTTGGCATCTTTTTAGCTCGGCTGTCTACTTCACCAAGCCGAGCTAATTATATTACTTGATTGCCCATTGTTGTCATCATCTTTTTACTTACTACGTAAATTTTTTACTTTTTTGACTTCGTCTTGAAAACTGCAATTTCCATTGCTTTGATACTTGGTATATATGTACCTTGAAGGGATTTATTCATTTTGTGATGATATCTTCTAATTGAATGTGCATTGCTAGCAGTGGTTCTATCTCAGCCGAGATGCTGCTTCCTTACTTTCCTTTTTCTTTGACGCATAATTGATACAAAAGACGTATTGGTTTACATGACATGCATGCAAATTTGTGGGGGGGGGGGGGGGTATTGAATTCACATCCTTCTCTTGAATTAGTTAACCTTGGTAACAGCTGGATTGGAAATCAAACAAAATAGTATGTCATTGAAAACTTAAAATTGTTGACAAAGAGCAACACCAGTGGTGACAATTAATGTAATTTTGTTTTTCAAAATTAAAGTATCTACTCATAGAGGGCGCTGTGTTAATCTTCACGGGGGGTGGGGTAAGAAATAATGAAATGAAAAGTAGCTGTTTCCTGGTAAACAATTGTTATTTTCATACTAGAATATCTTAACTTTTCAACAGTTACATTCGACACGTTCAGAAAGTTGGTACAGAGTTGAAGTTTAACTACAAAAATGGTAACAAATAAGAAATATAAAAATGGCAACAAACTACATACCGGGATATTGATTTTATAAGAAAGGATATGCTTGCAGAATGACAATACACATGAAAAGACGAAACAAAATAATTTCATTATTTTGGAATGTGCATTATGTTCATCTCAGTTGGTGACTTGTGATATAAATTACGGAATTAACAATCGCTTGATAATACTGATATGTTCACTTGAATGAACGACCTACCAACAATAATAGAATATTGCAAAGGTTTATTGTGTTTATGAGAGAAATCATAATTATTTTTGATCGACGAAATTCGCCAAAAACGAAACATTAATAAAAAAAAAACAGTGGAGGAGTTACCATTGTAAAATAAATTCACCAGTGAAGAGAATGTAGCTGTCGTTACATTTGCAACTGATAATATTTGAAAATACGGAAGTAAAGATTAACGGCTCACACGGTGAGCTGTGCAAATGAACCGGTAACTGCAGAGCTCAACTGGTATGAACCGGTAAGAACAGAGCTCAACTGGTGTGAACCAGTAACTACAGGGTTCAACTGGTATGAACCGGTAAGTACAAGGCTCAACTGGTTTGAACCAGTAACTACAGGGCTCAACTGGTATGAACCGGTAAGTACAGGGCTCAACTGGTATGAACCGATAAATACAGGCATGGAATAACCTCCATGGTACAGGTAAGTACAGGGATAAACTGGTATTAACCGGTAAGTACAAGGATAAACTGGTAAAAATGGTATGGACTGATAACTGCGTGAATACATGGCTCGGCTGATCCTTCAGTGAGTTGGCTAATAGAAAAGGAGCTGCCAATTTGAGATGAAGATTGCTCAGCAAAATGTTTACGTTAAATTACGAGTACTTTACACGACGTATTACAAGAACGTATCGTGCTGAGGGGATCTAACAATGGAATTAAAATACTTTTATGCTTGGCGCTGGCACATAATATGACTCACATTACAGTTACAATACTGTAGACATTCATACAGAAACTACCGTACATCACCGTGACTATACACAATACGTAAGACAGTACGTCACTTAATACAATAATAGATAACGATGTACTATTGTTACAACCAATATATCACGTAATAGAAAAGTATAAATTCCAATTAATATAACCAACCACAAAAAATAAACATTTAGTATCACGTACTAAATACCAGTAGACATTGTTTGAACTTGTTATTTTTTTTCAATTTTTATATCTATTTCAATACTTGTTTAGGATGGACGAGAAAAGCGGAGCTAAGACAAACACACACAATAAACCGGCATCCAAATAAAAACTAAAAAACTAAAAATGTTATACTTAAGATGGCTTGTAGATATGGAAAGAAATTAACGAAATAAAAATACGTCATACAAGGAGGTTCACAGTGAACAAAAATATGTATATATAAGCATAACTACATTTTATACACCGAAGACTGGTAAAGCATGTACCCAACTTTTTCATTTGAAATTTACAGCAATTCCAGGCACTGATTTGACGCCGAAGTAGTGCTAGAATGTTGATAACTTACTGCAATAGGTTACACACTTTGTTTTCAAATTTACACAAGTTGTAACTAGAAATATAAACATCGGCTGCAAATCAGAGGAATGATTGACAGATATTGCCCACAATGTTTTTTTATTTTTGCTACAAAGTTAGATATTGCTGTAATAGTCGTATTCAAAATAATTGGATTTGCCCGAACAGTATATTGATTCTCACGCTGAGTTAATAAATATTTATGTTTATACAAAGTTTAAAACGTCTCCGCCTCACCAGACTTCGGTGTAGAGGAAAGCAAACATCCTGGAAAATCTCTATTTGAAAAAATAAGTAGAAAATAATAATTAGCACAGTTCTTCTACACCGAGATTATTCTGGTTTTCGTGCGTGTCGGGAAAAAAGCATTTTATGCCAAATGCGTCCTCTATATTGAAAATGACAGATGTGGCTAAATAATTACATTAAACAAGTGTCGACTAAATTAGTATATTGATAAAGATAAAAGAAAGCTGAGGTACAAATGTGTTAGTTACTACATACGAGAATATCCTTTGTCTGTAGTGTACTGCCTTTCACGTCAGAATGCGCGTCAGACAAAGAAGATTAAGGCACACTTATGTCTGTTGTAAAATATCAATATATAGATATACACGTCAAAAGAAAGTTAGTACATCAATTAATTACAGTATCTAAAAATGAGTAACAAATATGTTTATAGAAACACTCACACATATTGACATATATAGAAAATACATAAAATATGTTAATTTTAGATAACAAAGAGAAATATAAAATAAATACTAAATTAATTGTCCTGTTCCGCCGTATTCAAGTTAATTTATTCTTCCTTTTTTATCCATGATAAAAAAAGGCTTGTTTGTTACAAACTCGTCGGTGGTTTTACAAATGAAAATTATGTGCCATGCACCATTCATTGGTATGCAGAGACAGTGTAGGACGAAAAAGTAATGACAGAGTACTGAATTTATCTCCTACGTCGCCACGTTATATACCACATTCACGTGGCACAGATTGACCAATGACAGAACGCTGTGTATCTGTATGCTTTTGCTATTCTATTCAATGAAATTCGCGGAGATGACCTATAACCCTATATTCGTCATAATATTTCCCACCAAAATGTTAGTGCAATATTTTGCATATTTTTAGGTCTTTACTTTCTTTGTTGTATTTTCTCATTACAGGTCGGGAGCAAAACTTTAAAAAAAACAATAACAATAGTTGAATTTGCCGTTCGAAAGACGAGGAGCAAATCAGTGGGTTTGTACACTTCAGAACTGTTACGATATAGGACAACGGCTGTTTAAACAGAATGTTCTCTCTCCTCCCTCTCATCTCTCATTCGTCTCCTTTCTTCTATGGTTGCCCCCTTTTCTTTGGTTTTACCAACATTATACTGGAAAACAAAATAAACGTTTTAAAATAGGAGTATACCAATATTGTTGGTGGGGTATATAGGGTATGGCAAAAAGATGATGCAGAGAACATAAACAATGAATCTGTAATGAAAGAGACAAAATATCACCCAGTCCTGCGAAATCAAGTAACCCACATCTAAATTGAAATATCCCACAGATAAACGACTGATAAGTGTACATACGAAGATAAACCATATTTTTAGTCCACGTCTGTAATCTTCTACAGGTAGAACGGACGGAGTAATTTTCTTGGTTGACTATTTCAAACGAAAGAGGGCGCTATGCGATCAACATAAAGAACCCGGTAAAGAATCCCCGATTTTGGTAATCGATCGTACACAAACTGATGCACTCACCTTTCCGCCCCGATCTGTGAACATTTTATCTACAGAAAACTCGATGATTCCAACCAATAAACTGAGAACTATACCTACAAGTAGCATTATATATAAACCAGCAAATTTTTTGAGGTCTAAGGAGTCCACCATTCGTTGGTAAGTAGTCTTCTCCATCGGTACCGGTACGTCATCGTTTCCATGACCACAAGGACCAGACTGAAACCATTTGGAATACGTTTCTTCCATGAAACCATCTTCCTTCATCTGCATGATGACTATATTCAGATGTTCTCGTAAGGGGGCGCCCTCGGCTACGGCAAACCCATAACTGACCGAATCCAGCGGTTCGGAGATGGCAACAAGGTCGCATGGTGGTTGGCTCAGAGCGTAGTCAATAGCGGCCGATTCAACAACGAACGCGTATTTGCCGTCACTTTCACGTACACGTTGAATTCCATGGGTTATGTTAGAAATTCGCACTTGATTATCGCTGTTGTCAATATTATATTCGATATTCGACCATAACTTTTGGTGATGTTTCTTGCTTGACTCTTTCAAATATTCTATAGTTCGTCCACCGTCAACAGCGCCGATAACCATATCGTCTAATCGAGAGATCAATTCTTCCAGATTATTGATTGGCCCTTTGGATTCAAGGTCTTTAGTGGGTTCATTGATCAGAATCGCACTCATGTTGCCTAGATACATAAATAATGTCACAACAACAAAAACGAACCAAAATCCACTCATACATCTCCCTGCCATCGAGCGGGGTGAATAATCAAAACTTTGTAAAAAGAGAGTACTCCAAAGGTACCAGACGCAGTTCAGGTAGCCAGAGAAGTAATAGCCTTGATTGGCTGGAACTTCACCTCGTTCTGCCATGGCACGAAGCTCGAACGGATTGAACCGGTCCATTATGAAAATGACCAGAGATACCGCGAACAGGGCTACAAAAATCATTACCCAAACGCCGGCTTGAAGAGGTCGGAGAAACGATGAAATGGTCTTCGGTGATGACTTGGTAGGCACCCAGCTTTTAGTGAGTACGCTAAGTACTCCGTCTTTGAATGGAATAGTGAAGTCGATGACAGTCTCTCTAACGGCACTGATGGTGATCGGGCCAGCTGCCACATCGGATTCCTGTGAACGAATAAATAAATTAATAAATAAATAATAATAAATAAATAAATGTCGATTGCCTTTATACAGGCTACATTTAAACACAGTTATGTATATGATGAGAGCCATAGTGACACTTCAAAAAGAGTAATGTTTCGAAGTCACATTATCACTAAAGAGGCAACCAGATAAATAAATACATACATAAATTAATTAATATGCTTTCATATTAGATTATTGTTTACATTAAGTAACCGTGGGTTACAGGAATTCACTTTATTTTGTGTACATTATGAAGTAGTGACGTCATTATATTACCTTTCTTATGATCTCCCCAATCATGCCGTTCCAAGTTCCCGTCTCAATGTCCAGTCTACCGAAATTACCGTCAGCTACAAGTCTAAGTTCATAATCGTACCCCAAACGATCAGCCATCTCTTTGACGATATCAGCGATGTAACCAGTAAACCGATCGTTGTCTTCGAGTTTTTCTCCTTCTGAGTCTATTTCATTGTATTCCAGAAATGGACCACTCTGAAGATGAAATAAGTATGAATTAACGCCCTTACGTTGGATGTTGTCGTTATGCTTTGATATGAGTAAGTAAAACACCCTCATACTCTGGTTGTTATGACGTTTAGCTTTTTCTTAAGAATCTAAACAAATTTGCATATTATCAATAAGAAGCAAAATATATTTACAGTATTTATGACGACTATATAATTGTTTTATTAGTGTTCTAGAGTGGAAGAATTAATGAATAATTTGAATATTTTAGTAATGTTGTGTTTGTTTACGATAATTTATTACGAACTTAAAATATATTTTTTTCCACTCACATTGTTAAAATAATAAAACCACTTAATGCGTATGCGATTTGAATTCTTAGTGCGTACTATCGAGCTAATACGCATGCGTGTTTACGTAATTGAACATCTCATGTTGTCTGCTTTCATGATACAGATACAATTTTTTTCATAATACAGATACAATATTTTTAATAATACAGATATTTTTATATATATATTGTGGCGTGTTGATTTATTCACGTTCAGAAAGAAACATAACTTACATCCTATAAAAATAATCACTTCAAATGTCATACCTGGATAGTAGATACAATTAATGTGTTGTTATCACCGGACACTGGAAGAGTGACGTCATACATCTCCAGACCATCCTGGGGCGACCACATTCCTCGCTAATACAGAATAAAATTTAGTGATAAATAGTGCACACATATTTGATTTCACTTCAAATGAACATAATGAAAACCTATTATAAATTCATTTATTTAAATAAAGTTTTCTAAAAAACAATTAGTAACAATTATATATATCATATACGTGACATAGCGCCACCAGTGTTGTTTCTTGCCTGCCAATATGCGGCAGTCTATTGGAATCAATATCCCGTCATACAACACATATTATGATTCATATCAATAATAATATCTGAATATTCTATTCTATACGACCGAGCAAAGTCAATGTGAAGAAAATACAAAAGTACAAAAACAAATTCCATTTTCCAAGAATTTAATGGTTTTTTTTATATGTTGTATTCTCGTGGCATATCATTATATGCTTGAAACATTATAATAATGCGCCCTCCTGTTCTGAGTTAAATTCTCATTTTCTTAACATTGTCGTACATTGTAATAGCAACTTGTGAACGTTGGATTATAATGTGTGTTCCCAGTAAATTTACATACCAATTCATTGGTCGGAATACCAAAGCCACTGTATATTTCTATCATGTATCCTCGCCTTTGTTTCTTGTCGTTAAATGTAACATTTCCAGTCAATCCAGAAAAGCTGACCTTTGTAAATAATAATAATAATAATAATAATAATAATAATAATAATAATAATAATAATAATAATAATTTACACATATATATATATATAACCATACGTATGATATCACGTGACTAGCCTACCCCAGCAATGTACTCCATCAATTTCCCGTCCGTAGTCTCTGAACCCAGCCGCTGACATGCTGGGATTTCAGTGTTTCCCGGCAGACTGTTTCCATCGTTCAGGTAACCCTCGATGGCATAGCCGACGGCCAGCATTGCATCATTTGCTAATTTCTGACTGAACGTCCATTCTGTATTTCCTGGTGGTAAATCAGACGCCACTTGCATACGAAATATGACAAGATTGGTACCACGGGACGCGATCTTGTTGACAATTGTTATTAACGGTAGAACGGGATCCTGAAACAACACACACACACATCATGATACATCGTATTACGAGTATATATTGGTACACTACACTACACTACACTACACTACACTACACTACACTACACTACACTACACTACACTACACTACACTACACTACACGTACCAGATTACCGATTATCCATCGATGTTTGTAGTCCAGCATGTTCTGTTCATTTGCCTGAAATGTACAATTCATAATATTACAATTAGTTTAAACTGGAGACAAAACATAAAAAATAAAGTACTATCCTGGAATAATAGACATTGTCTTTACCTTATTAAGGATTTCTATCGCCTTGCGGTCATCCTCCGTATAAATTAGTGTATGTGTTATTCCAATAGATCGCATCGAGTGTAAAATGTTGTCTATATTGGAATGAGTAATCTGAAATAATTCTATCGTCCACTCATTTAACGTCGATCTATATATCACATTCTGAACCATGGAATAAGCTGAAACAAACACATGTATAAAGATATGGTAACAGTCATGAGTTGCGCCCTCTGGAGAGGGATCCAAAGTTGAGTTTGAAGCAGACAGCGAACGCGAAGTTCAACTCAAAATGATTTGTTTTTTACCTGCACGCGTGTCATAAATTATAGCAAAGCTGTTCCATTTCAGATTGTGAAGCAAGTCATTGAACATTGATCCTATATCGATGGCGGATGGATACATCTGGAACGCTTCACGCTTTACAAGCGTTGGCAGGTCGATGTTGATTCGCCGGAGATATGGAATAAGCGGCAACATCAGCAAAATTCGTCGCAATAAGTGCATACATCGGAAAATATTACCACTGCCACACCAGGTCCGTCCAAAATGTCACAAACTGAAAAAAAAAAATAACGCAACCATTTCACCATAATGTGATGAAACGACCAAAAGAACGCACAGATGTTGCAAATTTATTCCTAAGCAGCCCTACAACAATGGTTTGGACTGCTGAGTACAATTACCACCACCCCCGGTATCTGATCGGGTTGCCAAATCTTCATCTCCATCTCTCCATCAAAAATTTAATTACTATAGCAGAGCGGCAATACGACATCAGTCTATGATTATGGGAAAGCCTTGCAAATTCGCGATTATCCATAATACAGTGTTTACAGTGTTTATGATTATATTACGACATAATATACACCCAAACATGTCGGCTGATGTCAATAAGTGACTTTATAATATTGTAGTAACTAGTGATATTACGTGCTTCTCGTGGTTTCTTCCATAAACTATCAAATGAATGGTAACAATAAAGAACTTAAGTTGACATAATATGATATTTTAATATGTATTTTGAATATTATTTATATGGACTATTTTAGGTATTACACTACAAATCAGCCTATCCTCGGGGGCGGACATCCGGGCATTTTCACCGCCTGGCAACCTGTGGCGGTGAAAACAAAGACCCAAAACTCGCAGAAAACGGTACTTTGGGATAACTGTTGAGCCTCCTCTGAACAGTGTAACAAGATTAGCCCTACGTGTGTAACATATATAAGTTTGGTTGTTTGGGATTACTTCAAAGTTGAGTTTGTGCTGTTTTCTCGAATTTTCACCGGCTCGACCGGCGTTCCACAGCAGCGCGCACAGAGCCCATAGAAATGCACGTACAGTGGTGCGCGTCGTAGCAACGTGGAACGTCTTGTGACGTAGCTCCGCCCCGAGGATTGTTTCATTTCACCGTGATTTTAATCTTTAAAAAACAGACCCGTGTTTAAGAATGCAAGGAAAATTAACAATCATAAAACCGTCAGCCTGAGAGCCCAGATTCC